ATATTTGTTGAAAGGTATCCAGAAAAAGCAACTGAGTGCTGAATATCATGATCACACTGTCAGAATGTGGGGACATGCTGTTTCCCTGTCTGTTTTGCTGATGGTCTTCTGTAAATGCTGAAAAGGGGATAGCGTGAACTCTGAGAGCAAGCGGGAGAGAAGAAGTAGTTACTGACTGCCCTCTCCAAGTCTTATCGGAGCTTAGTTCTGTGCTTTGGAGACTTTCTTCTGTAGCTCACTGTATCAAAGTCTCTGCAGAGATCTCACAGAACAATATGGAGATCATCTTACTTGTGCCAGGGCCATGGAGTATGTAAACTGGAGTTCCCACAGCAGTCTTTGGTCTGTGTCCTGGTCTGAACTTGCGAAGGTTCAACAGCTGACCAATGTCATGTTGCTGGAATTTTCTTTAATATTTTCATAGTAGTTTTTCTTTTTCCCATGTTGTTGGCAATAGAAAGTCAAATACCAGCTTCTTTGGCTGCTCAAGATATTACATTGTTCTAAAGGCATGGCTGGTGTGCTTTTTTAGAGGAGAAGTTGATCAGTTCCATTAGTTATGGGCATAGCTGTTCTTCAGTGCCTTTCACAAGACAGCAATGACATGGATCCCATACGTGGGTAGTGCTAATGTCTTCCAGCAGCAGTTTGCTTTGTAGTTTAAACTTTTATGTTTTAGGGCAACTTGGCTCTGGAACAGAACTTTAATGTTTCATTTTCATGTATAACCAGAGTTTATGGAAATAAGAAGTGAATATGTTGGTCTTGTGAATAAGTCCAGAGAGGCTTTGGCTAATATTCCTTTCTTAATAGCGTCATTTCAGTTCATAAAACTTTTATTATTGTAATAAGGAGTCACAAAATGAAGACTGCAAGTTTGTGAGGTAAAATTCCTATGTTTGGGATCAGTGCTGTTGCAATGAAATAACACTTTTCCAAAGCGTTAGTGTGAATGTATGAGATCTGCCTATTTTCTCAGAGAGTTCTTTTTAAGGGGTAGAAATATTGTTTAGTTACTGTGATACCTGAAAATGATGATTCTCTGCCACTGAATTTTTGTATGATTTCTCAGACTGCCTTAAGTTCTCTTTATTGATTGTGAAATGTCTAGAGAACTGACTAAACAGAAGAATCAGTCTGGAGAACTGAATGAAAGACACTTGCTTTCCACTTCTTGACTTGCTGATCAATGCTTTTCTTTTGTTATGTTATATTTCTGAAGATTATTTTTCTCTATGGGCCTGCTGTAACGCAGTGTTGATCTTCATTGCTGCAATAACACAGCAGGCAGAGGGACTACAGCCAAAGTCAACTTAGTCCTTTGAAACTGGTGTCAAAGAGATGATATGTTTGTTAAGGAATTGTCATGTACGCTCTTGGTTAAATGCATTTGTGATTTTGCAATGTGTGGTGTTAAAGCTGAAATAAAATCTATCTCAGTGTTTATTGAAACTGATACGCTCATGTATTATGCCAGATTCAGCAGCCCTGACTAACCAGCTCACACATATGGCATTAGTAAATACAATCTGTCACTCTGACATGTACGCCTGTGTTGACTTTGTTACCTTGTAATCCATTTGGAGTGCATTTTCTTAGGATTACCTTTTTATCAGTTTTCCTGTGTGCTTTTATAGCTGACAAATCTCTTCTAAGTTACTAGGGAAACATTTCTTCCCTCCATTAACTAAACATTAAAAGCTACAGCCAGGAGTGGAGGTAGGAGTCAAAAAATTCAATGAGGCATTATCTAACTTCAGATGTTGCACTGCAGAGTAGAAATCGGTGCCCTCTAAATGATGTCTAAGACCCCCGACACACTTCATGGGAGGCTGAATGACTTCAGCATGTGGTCTGAAACATCAGCATGTCTATCAGGGAACTTTCTTGGAAAAGTCAACAGTAAGATTCCCTACCCCATGCTACCGTTGAAGTGCCTCAACATGAGGTTCAGACAGTTATCTTCACCAGCTTGAATCCAAGTATTGTCCCTGGTGGAAAGACACCCACAGTAATTTTTTTGAAAGAACTGAATGGTGTTCAATCTTTTAAGGCACCATCCGGGGGATGGTGTTGGTGCTGCTTCCATCCATCTTCTGTGTTACTAGCTTGATCTGACATCTAGCTCAGAGTACCAGGACGCAATTCCCACAACAGCCTGAAAAGGCTGAGTCCACACCTGTCTCTCCAAGCAGCCCATTCTCTCACCTCACAAGCAGGTGAGATGGCTGAGGAAAATCTTCCTTTTCAAGAATAAAAGACTCACTGTGGCAAGACAGGAGAAGTGGAGACTTGGACTTTACAGCTTTGTAGCTTCAAAACTGCATAAGGAACAGCTAGTCCTGCTTATTTGTCTCAAAAACTCTTTACACATTTAATTCAAAACAATCTTTAGATAAACTGCATAAACAAACTTGAAAGAAAAAACTGGAACCCAGTATGCCCCCTTTTAGATGGGAGTGTTCTAAGGTGAGACTGTTCTAAGGCTAAAATTTATGCTTTCTCCCTCTAGCCCAATCAATCTTCATTTCTTCACTCTGCGATGTTCTAGCTCCAATGGAAGGGGGATGCACACCACATCCTTACCCAAAATGACCTATGTCCTGGGAATCCCAAGTCACCAGTGAGACTTAATTTTCCTCAGCTGGGAATTAGGTGCAGATGTCTCACTTCAGAGGAAAAGATTTTAATGATGAGGCTGTTACAAAGATACTACTTCTTCTTCCATCATGAAACTGTTCATGAAGCAGTTGAGTCTAATCATGATCACCTGCATACAGATAATCCCAGCAGAAAGTCCTTTATTTAATAATTAATGCCTAGATACAATTGACAAAATCCAGTGTCACTAAGAAATATAAATCAAAAGAATACATTTTACATGTATAATGGAGAAAATGTACTTTTCCATTAAGCATTAAAGTCAGCCCTAATGAAAAGAGCCTGTAAAATTACAGAAGCGACACAACAGCCACTAAATATCTTGCTGTCTTTCAGAGTAACTCACATACTTACCTTCCACTTCAAATACATTTTACCTACTTGTGTGTGTGTGTGTGTGCCTAAGCACATATATGAGGAGAGTTCCTAGCATCTAAATATAAGATAATAAGAAAACAAAAAGCTCATAAGACAGAAAGTTACAAGAGGTGTTTTTATGATTGAAGTTTAGTTAAATCAGAATATAAATGGATTTCTTCAAATTTTGTGTCACAGAGGGTTCAGCATTGCATCATTGCTTTTTGAAGTCAGACTGAAAACCAACACAGGGTTCACTTCATAAGTATATTTCCTATATAAAGAAATGTTTTTATCCAACACCGATGAGAACACATTCTCAGCAGTATTTTCAGTTTGAACTTTTTCCTCTTTATGGTTTTAGGATTAAGAATATTAATATACTACTTTTAAAATACCTACATGATGGGAGGTAAACTAAATGCTGCAAATTGCTGGACTGATAAAGGGGATTGTTTTGATTAACAAACTAACCAACTTTCCACTTTTCTGTTGTATTTTTGTCCAAAGGCTGATTTAGTAATGAGATAGCATTTGATTGCAAAACAAGAATGAATTTTTGGTTTTATGCAGATCCTAAAGAAAGAGGAAATGCATGTTGTAATAATTGTTAAAAAGCTCTAATCTCTCCCGAATAGAATTGCACACCTAAGATTTTGCTCACACACTGAATCATTTCACAAGCACCAAAGCCAGAAGCAAAAGTCACGTTGAAGAGCAGAGATTCCTGCTCTTCTGATCACACCATAAATTTCTAGCCCTAGATCTGAATCAGTCATGGTCAAAACTGGAACTGAATTCAGTGGAACTAGTATTTTATTCCTGATCCTGTTTGTTGTGTGAGTTACGTTTAGTGGGAATTCAGACAAAATTCAAATTAATCAAATTCAAAATAAAATTAATTCATCAGATGCTATCATAACAAGACAATATATATGCTACTTATGGTAACAGTTGTATAAGAAATGCCAGGCCATTATCCTGCGCTGACCAGAACCAGTTTGTTACAGAGATATAACAAAGACAACCAATTGCTAGTAAATAGAAGCTTAAATCTAGCAAAACAACTCAGCTATGGAGAGAAATCCAGAACTCATAGCCAGAAAGTGGGATCCAGAGTGGTGTGTTAAGGACCATGACTCCCAGTACAGTGCACGGGGAGAATTAGTCGCTTCGGGTATTGCTTAGAGACAACGAATAGGAAACACAGATGATGAGATGGGTCGTAACTTCTCTCTCGAGAGGTAGGCACTTCACTTCAGCCCCAAGCAAGTGGCTCTCTCCACAGGGCATTCAGACCACAGAATGCTTTCTAAAATTACTTCATTTCAATTGGAAGGGCTCACTCATTTCTTCTTGAAGGAGGAGAAAGAATAACCTGTTTCAGCAACAACATACTGGAGCCAAAACATTAGCTCATATAGTCAGAGTTTAATTCCTTTTCATTCTGAAAATGGTTGTAATCCTGATCTTCTCCTACCCCACCGAGTGCTCCACCATCAAACTACAGGCAGCCTACCTGTGAGTGCTACCTTACAAATATGGCATTAGGTACTTGGGAGCCTAGTGTACAAAACTACCACATATGTACTTTTTAACAGCTCTCTAAAATGTTTCTGAGTGGATTTTTTTCCTTTCCGCCAGATGAGTTCAGATCAGAAGGGTGGGTTTCAGAGATTGCCACTGCTAGGCAGATTCATGCTGATACAGCATTTATACCATTGTCATGTGCATCTAAAGATTTAGGAAAAGTGCAGCTCAGGACAGATCTGTGAATCTACGAAAGTGAGAGAGAGTACAGTTCTACTTTTTTTAGCTTGTGAAAGGTTTAATATGTGTTAATAAATATAAAAATCTTCTGTATGCTCAACTACAAAATTCCATAATTTATAGTAGGTTTTCTAATATATATTTTATTATCGCATATGTACAACAGGCTGACTTTCAAGAATAGCCTTAAAAAGCATAAGCAATGGAGTAGTTCATCTGTGACTTTTATAACGGACCATAAATGTTTCAGAAGAATGGTCTGGTGAGGGACTTCTTGACTCATGTTTTGTTCTGCAGGCTCTGAAAACAAAGAATGTGCATGTATTTAACAATAAACCATACAGCTTTTGGTTTGAACTTTGGCTTAATTGAAATCAGTGGCAAAATTCCCCTCTTTTTATGATGAACACTGTGGTATAAAATAATTCCCTTCACCGTTATTAATGTACTGTTCTTTCTTCCATCCCCTGTATTCTTTAAATCTGAGTTTTATTTATATGCTGATATTCCTGTAACTGCAAACCAAAAGAGAAAGCCTCTTTTCCCATATATCCTTGACTTGCCTTTTGCATTTTTCTGCATGATTCCTCTTTGATCTGCCTCTGAATTTAATAATGAAATTTGACTCAATATCCCTCCCACTATATATAGCTCCTGCTACATCATGTTCTGTTACCTATCATCTGACAATGTAATTCTTGAAATCTGGCCATTTAATTTGGTCCAAGAAAATGTATCACTTAAGAAAAAGCCATGTTCATTTGACTAAGTGAATGCACATTTCTGTTTTCTTACCAAGCATTGGTGTATGGGCAGTTTCTCATACTGTGTGTGGGGGAATGTTTACAGAATCCTATCAGCAAAAATGGCATTTGGCAAGAATATTAACTACAATAGCAGCATTCACGGTTTGGTTTCTAAATATGTTATAATGCTGAATATTCTCATTTCCTTTCTGCATTACCTCTGCCTGCTACAGGGCTAGGAAGGTAGCCTCACAGAATTTTTGAATTCAGATTTCACCTTCCCCTGCCATGGGACAGGAAATGAAACCTCCTGAAGCCTGGGATCTCTGCATGAATGGAGGGCATTGTAGATACGCATCGTATTTCACTCCTCCCTGCTGACACCCGCAATGTCAGTTCTTTCCATCACTGGGGCATGCTGGACTGTTTTTAAAGACAATCGCAGTGCCAACCTCTTAACTAAGTCAAAACATTTTATTTTCTGCTTTTGCAATTTCCTAGAACCAATGTTTAATATCCCTATCAAATTACCTGATCTTTAGGAGAGTCAACAGGACTATTCCTAGGATGAGAACTATGCAGGAGGAATAGGCAATAATGTAGACTGTTTCACCTATAAGTAAAAAACAGAAAGCAGACATGAAACGTTTACTTCTTCAGTAATAAGAATCAGGTTTGAGATCTGAATGGGAATGCATACATATGTAAGCTAAATTAGCTATCAATTCTGACATAAGTAATTAAAAGGAGGAAAAAGACCTAGATGGTATGCCAATGGTAGGAATAACTCTTCCTTCACCAGTTGGTGCAAAATAATTTTCAGACTCCTTTTAGTAAATACCAGCTCCAATAGCACTTCATATGTGTAGCACTACCTTTTACTCTACTCCAGGGGTAGATTTGTGTTTTGGAGTATTCTCCCCATTGATTTTAAGGTGTTAATTTTATTCTGTGTATCAGAGGAGACCTGGATCTTACTTACCTGCTAGACCTCTTTTCCTTTTTTGCATATTATCATAATTGCAGTGTGCAGCAATATTTGATCTAGAGTCAAATTAATGTAAAATGGGATCTAACACTGTGTTTCTGGGCCCCGAGCCCATGGGGTTTCCTCTTTCTCTTAGGCTTCTCACCAAAAAGTCACTTAGGTAGCTTATGTGCTAAAAATTCCAACTGTTGAAAAACTGGGAGTTGTTTCAACTTTTGTTTTCCAAATGAGGAGAAACTTATTTTTCCTGGAGGAATTAATCCATCAGTTTTGATCAAATATTCTGAAGGAGAAGTTTCAGTTGAGAATGTAATGTAAGCCCTGAACCTGGGATGGAAAGCTGCGGAAGTTGGGTGACTTGACAAGAGGACTCAAATCCAGAGCCGCAAGCATAAAACACGAGACCTTTCTGTTACTTTCCTGTTGCACTGATTCTGTCGTGTTTATACAATAAAATAAGTTTTGCTTATATAGGAACTCAAATGCAGAGGGCCTTAGCTCTTCCCAAGCTCCTCTACCTTACACAGTCAGTGAAACATTCACCAAGAAAGAGATGGAGGCCTGGTCCCATCACTGGGCCACTTATCTGGGCTGTGAGAAGGCCAAATTCTGGTCTCTGAATCAGTTATCAGTTATTATATGTTTTGTGTGCTTGTGTGTTTGTGCCTATGCACATAAGGACCCTAAATGAGACATTTCTGTATACGCTACATATATGCAACGGATGTAGTGTATAGTACAATACAAACACAGGTGGTATGGATACTGGAGCAGCTCCAGTAAGAGAGAGTGAATATATATTCTACAACGAGGCAAGCAATGAGCAAGAGCTGAGCAAGGGCTTGGATCTGCCTGGTTTTTATTGCAGGATGACGCTCACTTTTTCTCAAAAAGCTATCCAAAAGTCAAGTTTTCCAATAAAAGAAAAATGAAAGCAATGATTGAACCATCACAAGTTGCACGGAATGAACATACCACCTAATGCTGCAAGCTACTGAAAGATATTTAATGTGGTGAATTTTTGAAGGAAGAGGGGCGAGGTCTATCTTAGTCTCAGTGCAGGACTGCTAATATCATACATTAAAAGATAGATCAGCAGTTGGCCCTCCTCTCAAGGTACAACATTTCTTTACGATGATGAGTTTTAGGAAAAGAATAATTTTTAGGCTTTTTTTGCAGTTTCTGAATCTTAATTGTACACTCAGTCATTTTTTAAAACTTTCTACAACTGCAGGAGCAGTCATAGGGGCAAAAGTTTCCTACTTTTTTGAAGTGGAAAGTGAGTTTCACACATATTTAAGGCAAATAGAAATTTTTAAAGTACATCACTTACCAAAAGACTAGGAAAATTATTAGAAGCAACAGTCATGGATGATTAAAAATGGGCTAATATAATTTCACCAAAACATTGTAATATTTTTCTTTAAAAAGTTGGAAAAAGTGTTTCATTTTGATAAAAAATACCACTCTGAAATGATCAAATGAAATCAAAATGTTCTATTTTTTGTCAAAATCTTATAAAATGCTCTGTTTTTGGTGAAGTAATTGCTGGTAAAAGAGATGTGGATGCTAACATTTTTAGTTCTACGGGGAACACAAGAAAGATGATAACAATGAGATCATGCTAGAAGCCATATATTTTCTCCTACCTTCTGAGAAGTGAGGGAATTTGTAAGGCTAGGAGAGGGCACAATTTTGTGGCTGAAGAGCTAATTCTTCATTTTATATATTCTTTGTGGTTTAACTACTTGAATGTGGTTATTCATCTTCCCTTGTTGTTGGGGTGGTTTATTGGTAGGCATTCTGCTCTTCTTTAAAAATCCAGAAGCAATTTTATAGAAATTTTCACTATTAATCTATATCCAAACAGTTCTTGAAATGTGAAATAGTGCTAGGGAAGTTAAGAAATATAGGTATGAAATTTTGGCTCTGTTCTTCCCAAATCTTGTCCATGAAAACTACCAGAATCCGCATTTCAATTCCTGTGACACAACAGGCTGTATTATCCCATTTTGATCTCTCCATACATGGTATTGATCATCTGAACATGATCTAACTAACAATGAGTTAAGGCTTAAAAAACAGTGCCCTAAACGAACACTGACTGAAATTAGGCACAACTGTAGTTATGGATCAGTAAACAACCTTAGCTCTCATGCTGTGTGTCCGTTCACAGTTCACTGGAATCATAGAGTCATAGAATCATTTAGGTTGGAAAAGACCTTTAAGATCATCAAGTCTAACTGTCCAACATGCTCTGGAGAGCAGATAGATCCATCGCAAGCATTAGAAACGTGATTAAAAGTTAGAATAATTTCCTGTTGTTAACAGAAATGGTAAAAAATGTAGTGTACATAACGTTCCTATGTCATGACTCTTCTAAGAAACAGCTGTCCCTATTTCAGTACTTCTCTTCAACTGACTGAGGTGCGGACGATCAAACCTGGTTGGGGTTCTCTGACTAGATGGAGAAAGGAATACAAATATCTGCATGTACCATGGAGAAAGACAGACACATGTGGTGCTAGTCTTATAATAGGAGGTGGCTAAAATACGAGATGTTTCCAGCTCAGTCCTGCAAAGAGTGAATCGACACATGTGGAAAGCGGTCATTTCCATTGCAAGGGGAAGGGCTGAGAGGTGCTGGGAGGGCTGCTCTGTCCCATAGAGGTGGCCTGTAGTCATGAGAAGCTCGTGGACCTTCTCACCTCGGGGCAGGTCTATAGCAGGGCCACTGCGGCTGCGTGATGCATGTCTTGCCCTTCCTAGGATGGGCTGCGAACCTCAGGGACACAATGACTGGGCTGCAGGTACCACTGAAGCACTAGCTGGAGCTGTCTACATAGACACACAGACATTTCCAGTGATGAAGTTCGGTAGAGGATAGCTGTGGGCTCAGCAGCTGGAACAATTAGTGGGATTACACTCGTGTAAATCTACCTGCTTATGTATACATAGTGAAGTGGCTGTGAATGTTCATTGGACAGATTAATTCTGGCTGGTGCTCAGAGGTTTCTTGGCTACCTGCAGCTTGTCACAGGCTTTTTTCTACATGTATAAAACAATCAGATTGATAATGTTTCATACCTTACAAATTAAAGTTGCTGGAGCTGAACTAATCTCAGTTCCCACAGCAGCTGGTATAATTATAGATAAACCCTGCCAATTACTTGTTTATCTAGATTCTCAGCATGGCAAAACTCAGTAAGAAATATATGATAACTCTACAATTTAAGACAAAATGAGATTAATTTCAAGAGTGTTGGGTCAAGCCCAATTTTATTGTATCTCACAAGAACAGGATAAGAGTTCTGTATTTCTAGCTTTCTCTTCCAGCCAAAAAATACTTCAGCTCCAAAGCTCTATGCCGATGAAAGTAAATGCTTATCTTCACACATGAATCATTTTTCAAATTAAAGTGTGGGAAGCAATCTTTTAAATTATGTGGATCTGTAAAATCATGGAGATAATTTGCATAGGATAAAGTCAAAACTGGGCTGAAAGTGCATAACTAGGTAGGCAATAACAACATTTTTGAAGTTTGGAGAATTTTTGTTTGATTTATCACTTTTTGATGTTGTTTCGAAAATGACATAAAATTCTGGCCCCATCTAAGCTTACAGCAAAAGTCTCATTAACTTTTGTATGGTTAGGACTCTGTCCGCATCACATCTTGTTAACAGGGTTGTATCAGCCCACAGACAACTGGTTTGGCCTGTACCCTCTGGGTATGTGAATGAGTGTAAATCCAGTCAAGATTTTTACACAATCCTGTTATCATACGGTTACACCAAAAGCTGGAATAATATTCTTCCAACTGAACAGGGTTATATTTATTTGCAAATATATATAAGTTTAGATTTATTATTTAGTGTGAAAGACTCCTTTTATTAAAACCAATCTTATCCAGTGGCATGATTTGCGATGCCACTGAATGGAATGGAGAAGTCTTACTCTTTTTTGAACAGTAAGTGGGGTTTTTTAAATTATAAAATTAAGAAAAAGTTGAAGAAATACTCAGTTTCTTCTGAGCGTGTTCATCTGTAGAAAGTCATTAGTTTGAATTGGTGAAAGACATCCTTGTATCTTTCAATGACAAAGTAACTAAATGATTCTTCTGAGATTTTGATGTAGGGACAAGACATCGGCAAATTGTATCTTCTGCTTTCCAAGCAGAAAATAGCCAAAAAGCAAGTATCTTCAAATGTCTTCACACACACAAAAAGGCCATATTTGATAACTTAGCCATTTTGCCTCTTCAGCCTGGGACTCTTCTTGGGATTTGATTTTAGTAAAGATAAATATTTTGCAAAGATGATAACTCCCTTTGCAGCCTGAGTAATGCACATTTACTGGCATATGAATCCAGGATACCGGGTTAGGGTTTTGGCAGTGGGATTTATGAAATAATTTGCAATATGGTTTTTATCATCAGGTAGATATCCTGAATCAGATTCTTCTCCTTGACCTGGCTTCCTATGAGACATTTATAGCTTAGAGAATTCCCATCTAGTGTACATGACAGCTCCAATAGAAGGAATATTTTATTGTACGGTTTAGGCTGGTCAGCATTCTTTTTATTTTTCTAAGGCCGTACAAAATTCTGTTAAGAGTTCAAGGACAGGTTTTTGGAAAGTATTCAGACTTCAATGGGAACAGAATTAACTGGGTGCAGGCTGCTTTTTGCAAACATTTATCTGAATCTCTGAGGGAAATGTATAATACATTTTACCCACTGAAAGGGTCTGCAGTTAGAACTAGTCACAGGGGTGAAATATCTCACATTTTGCATTTTCTCACTTAGAGCAGGATTTCTTGCATTCTAGCTTGCATTATTTAACCACTAGAGTCTCGTTCCAGCTAGAGATTCAGGCTCCCTCTGTAGTCGGCAAAGAGAAGCCAACACTGCCAGCAAAGACAGTCTGAAAAGGTGGGATTAATCTTCCTCTGAGGGTCCCTGACTTTCTTCTTTGGCTACACAGAGCACTTGGATGACATGCATGATTCTTAAGTAATTTAAATGCTAAAATTACAGCTGAATGCTTAATTATTCACATACAGGTCTCAGGAATCCCATTCCCATGAATCTATTTTTATACTTCCCAGGTTACCCACTTCAGCAATAGTTGAAGGATAGAGATGACAGAAGTCCCTTCATTTTGTACTGCATGCAGAGCTTGAATTATTTTTTTCACTGTTAAAAGTGTTCAATATGAACGGTTCTGGGAACTAATTCACAGTAATGTCTGGAGTATTGTAATCTGCCTCATGCAAGGTAGAACAGGTCATTCTCGTTAGAGTCGATATTTGTGCATTAAGCTCTTTAGTGTTCTCACTCTGTAATTGGGCCTTCAAAAGGGAATATAAAATTAATATTATTTCAACCATGAGAAAATTTGTATATTAATTCAATATCCTTTAACTTTATGTCACTTAATTGCTTACTGTAAATGCATGGAAATAAAACCAGATGCAGCTCTTCAGCCCATGGGATATCATGATCTGCAATTGCATGCCCTTCTCTTGCATGAGAAGGTAAAGTATGATGGAGTGTAACACAAACCCCTCCTCAGACCACTTACTGTGGCTTCCTAATTTCGTTGTTGTAACTACTATGGCACAAAAAGTCAAAAGGGATAGGAGAGAAGTAGGTGTGACATCAAAGCTAATAACTTGTATTACACATTATGACTACTACTCTCTAATGACTGTACGGAGAGTCAGGCTCTGGTGGGCTTAATAGCTTAATTTTCCCCAATTATAATATAGTGATTGTGAGACATCTATTGCAAAACCACTTATCAGAGAAATTGGTTCAGTCTCATTATCTTTATTTTGTGGTTATATAAGCTAAGCCAAACAGGTAGAGAGATTTTTCCACATTATGTTGAAGGGGGGAGCAACAGTCAGAGCTCACTTGCCTGAACCCACCCAAGGGATCCAACCTTTAGTCTTCCCTATCATACACGAGGGAAATTTCAAGAGTACTTCTATGAAAACCATGGAGTGGTTTTCCCAAACTCACCATTGATTGAAGAAGAATGGAGCTGTGCTCTGGAAAGCTTTTCTCCTGGCATTTCTGTATTTACCCAATGGAAACCTTTCTTCTTAATGGAAATTTGACCTGAATATTGGAAAGCAAATATCCATTCAAAATATTACTTTAAAATAATAATTCAAGTGAATATTGCTGTTTGGTGTTTTGATAAGAGTCACAGAATTTATAAAGGCAGCTATTTAAAAATATTGTTTACTGATCCTCGATGAACAAAGTGAATGAGTGAATGAGAGTTCTTCCTTTGACATCTCAGTTAAACTTCCCCTGTAGTTTGTCTTACGGGGGACAAGCGTGCTTTAAAAATATTCTCTGCCTCAAATCAGCATACATTCTCTTTTCACATAAACTATTTTAGAAATAGACCCACCAAAAGAATTGGGCCCACCAAACCAATATAGAACTGATGAGAAACGCATAGTAGTTTGAAGTAATTTCCAAAAGGCAGAGCTTATTCTCCAAATGAACTGCTAGACCTCAATCAAGTTTTTCACAAAGGCCTGTCCTCTTAGTGGGCATAATTTCATGAATGTATCTGAAAATATATATCTTCTGTTGAAATGAAAAATAAAAGGTTTACCTAAGTACAATAGTTTGCAGAGCAAGAGGCTAAACCATACAAGACTATGCATGATCACTCACATGAACTGTAAACTGAGAAATTTTTATTCCCTAGAGGAATGAAAACAATACAACAGAGGCTCATGTTTGCAGCCTGGAACATTGTCTAAATAGCAATGGACTAAATCTCTTTCTAATGTATTTTTTCTGTGAGATCCAAAAGTACAACCCGGAGTTAAAATATTTTGGAAACTTAACTTTTTACTTTCAGTCACTGGCATTTTTGCTTATTCCCATTGTGACACTGATCCTACATTGGCACTGATCCACGCTGTGTTTCTGTCTCATATAGTGGCCAGTTACTCATAGTTCTTGCCTTTTACTGAGTCTGCAGCAAACTTTAATCCTGTAAGCACAGCCCCAAAAGCAAACACTTGTAGCAAGGCAGTGCCGTACAAGAGTAGGAAGATGTGATGGTGTAAACACCACTTGCTGGTCTGTTCACACCAGTTCTAGAGGCAAAGATCCCTTTTGCTAGCCCTAGGTATTTGCCCATTCAGAAAGACTTCAATGTTAGAAGTCATCACCACTGTAAGAGTGAAAGTTATCCAAACTTCACACCCAGTGAACCCTTCTGAGTTAGCAGAAGGGGTTGGATGAGGTTGGATGAGCTCTGCAACGGAGCACTCACTCCACGTCTCTGAGCTGCCATGCAGATAATGGCATTTAACACTGTGCCTTACAATCAAACCCATAATCATCTCTGTCTTCAGTTTAGCTGCATTACAACTAGACATCTAGAAAAAACAAAAGCAAGATTCACAAGGCTCTGCAAATGTTCTGTAGAGAAGGTGCCAATCCTTTACTCAGCCAAAGGCCCTGCATCCCCAAACAGTTTTTGTTTAACTAGAAGGAATTCATTGCACCACAGGAGCAAGCAAGCATCTGTTCTTCAATCCCTATTAGGTTAGGGAAGTTTCCATCACAAAACCCCCACATTTTATCCTGAGACTGCTTCAGGGAATGGCAAAAGCTCATGAGCATTTATTTGATTATTATGACATGAGGGTCATCTTTTTGCTTTGTAGGTAAAGAATAACTAACACAATGATGTGATCACTAATTTGGACCATTAAATGCAGCCATAAAGCAAGCAAACAAATAAATAACATTCATCAGCAAAATCACTGCCAGTAGTCTCAAATCTAAGTGTGTATGGTACCACTTTTCCAGAGGAGTTGTTATATGATTTTTAATCTTTTCTACAAGTCTGAATTTTAGTAGTGATAAACTAAGCTTAAGGACAGTGTTTCAGCAACTTGATTTTAATTTCTGGGTAGACTTGGAGTGACAAGAAAAAAATTACACCCTTATCAGTGGTAACATTTTGGCCACTAAAACTAAAAAATTAGCTAATTCATTCAATGAAACACATGCATGCAATTAATACATGTTTTTAAAAGTCCATCAGATGGAACTATGAAATAGTCATTGCTTTTCATTGAAATCATTAGATATAGTTACCTCTCCCAAGCTAGGTTGAGAATATATATAATGACATATAGAAGACGACTGGCATAGGGTATGATGCACTAGCAAGAAGTGTATCCTTAGGGGATTTATACAGCAAAATAGCTGGTGTGATAGATAGAGATTTGAGGAGAAGAGGGTACGTTGATCTTTAATCTGGTCCATGGACTGGATGCCTGGAAGTAGCTGGAGCATTGCAGAGGCGGCAGATGAACCTTCAGGTTCACTTTTAGGCTGCAGGAGTCCAGGAACCACCCAGTGATGTAACCCAAAGAACAATAAGTGGGGACAAACAGAGGATTTGCTTTGAAGGCACGCTGCTGATTCAGACTAAAACATGAATATTTGCTCCCACGTTGCCATTTATTGCACTAAATTTTCTCTTAAACAAAGACTTGGCAAGGACTTTTACATTTAACAAAAATAAGTAGGTGATTTAGCACATGAAAGGCTTTACTGGTTCTGACAAAGTATATACATTTCATCTGAGTTAACCACAGTGTTTTTACTGAAGGCCAAATCCTGAAGCCTCCATTCACAGCAGCATTTTCTTTGAGAGGTCCTATGTAAATCGTTGAGGTTATTTTCTGTGGAATGAAGTCTGTTGCTAAATGTGTGTAAGCTATACTAATATTTAGACTCCAAGAAGAAAAGAAAGAAAACAACATAATATGTCATATTATTTGTAAAAACAGTGTACCAAAGTACAACATTAAGCCAATGACAGGAAGGCTTTGGATTTTTCTAATCTGCGTAATAGTATAGACCCCAGAAATTATTCTTTTATTGTTATTCCAGCAAGTTCAATTCATGCAGTCAATTTTATTGATTTACTACTAATATAAAATATTTCCCAAGACCAGAGGAAAAAAACTGTACATGCAATTTGTATTTTGATTTGGATTAAAAAACCCGCAGATATAAATCTTGTTGAAATCAGTGGTAGCAAAGATATAGTAAAGATCTGGTGTAAGTCAGCATTTCAACACTCTTTAAAACTGTTTTATGTGTTACTCACGTAACTCACTGAAGCAGGATTTGCTGTGAAGCATGTGATGGAAGAGCTTGCACAAAGGCTGCTCTGTGGGAAGTAAATTCTGGCAGGTGCACTCCACGCGCAGCATCGTGCCCCAGTTGCTAATGTAGGCTGCTTTGCAATCAGCATTTGCAGAACAGGGCATGTCACCCTTGATTAAAGTTTCAAGACAAGCTTCATCATCGTAGCATTTTTTTGTCACGTGTCTCCAACACTTTGACCGAAAAGTTGTGTATTTTTTCCTGGTGGAAAAAAAAAGAAGTATACAGTGACAGTTTAAAAACTCTGTGATTTCACAAAAAGACATTTAAGGATCATCATGAAAAGAGACCACTTGTATAGACACACATTTACCACTATACACACATTTGTCTATACACACATTTACCACTTGAGTACCACTCAAGCCTTAAAAATCACAATATTCTGTGATAGCTGGCCTAAACTCTTCTCTGATTTGCACCTAATTGGTTTGAGTGAAATCTGCAAAATTGTAATTTGAGGAAAAACTTGTTTTTATGAAAAAGTTTTTGAGAAAAAGCAAGTGCACTTCTAATCAGCACTGTGGAGATTTCCCAGGGTCCAGCAAAAATCAGTGTGAATACCAACAGTCTCAGATCCTTAGAGAAGAAATGCAGATAGAGGAATTAGACCAGTCGCCACAATGCGACCAAAACAGGTGCCGTACTAGTGGATCAATTTGTTGGGCAGTGTGAAGGAAGAATGAATATTCAACTTATTTTACATAAAATAATCTACATACAATGCCAACCCCTCCTCCCCCTGAATGCTAACAAAATACAAAATGTCCAAGGATCAGGAAAAATTAGAAGTAATTTATTTGACCTTCAAGATTAATTGATAGCAGAGATAAATTACGAGAAGAATTAACTTGTTTCCCAGCTCAATAATCTCAAATTATTTCGGTTTATTTACTCTCAGGATAGAATAAAATTGGCCTTTAATGCACTATGTATGACAATAGAAAGCATCTTTTACAAGTTAACTAGGAAATCTGTAGATATTAATTAGAAACCGATTTATCACTTACATTAAGTATTAGGGGACGATAAAGGTAAACTGTTGTTGTATATTGTACATTAATATATTAAAACATTACTTCCTTAATCATAAAATTAGGCTATTAATTTACTGTTGATATTGTGTAGCTGTAACAAGCAAGTCACATGGAAAAACATGGACTGTTACAATACCAGCTAGGACATTATTGTAAATCTTTTCATTACACAAGCAAAGGTTTCAAAGCAGATGCCACCTCTGTGCTAATGGAATTATTTTTATTCACCTCCTGATTTATAGATATGGCTAGCCATAATTCACAGAGTAATTTTGCTAATTATATCAATTTATTGCCAGTGCCAGGAAACATTAATGTTCCCAAAATAATGGGTAATTCAGCAAGTCTCCATTACGATATTGCATGTGTACACATGCGCATGCACAGACATACATTTGTAGCCCAGTTCTTCTTGACATGAAAGGGGGAAATTCCCACTGACGTCAATCTGAATAGCCTGCACAGACCTGAAAGCGTCTCTTGGCCTCCTGGTTTGTTGACTGAAGGTTAATTTGATCACAGCTTTGAGGTAAAACTCAGGTCTAATCCACAAGGGAACCGGTGACTGCACTGAAAACCAAAGTGAGCCAACTGACCATCCACAAATGGTGGCAATTAAGTAGAACTACAAATACGGACTAATCCTGTTGCGTGTTTTCTAAAATAAATCAAATCTGAAAACTGCATTATTCTTCATGAGTTTGGTGGTCTGTGCATGTTTCAGGGAAGCTTTTTCCAAGTATCAGTATGCTCGAGATGAATAAGATGACAGTTTTCTGAATGGGCCAAGTTCGTTGTATGGCCGTTGGGTACAAAGGGTCAGACTCTACAGTGGAAGAGGTAATTACTTCAACCAAACAAACTTTGTCCGGTCTGCTGCACAATTTGTGCAAACTGCTAGAGGGCAAAGGTGCAGACAGGCCGGTGTTATCTGAAGAAAGTGGTAATGAAAATATGCAATGGCATAGTTTGTCCAGCAGAAATGGTGTTAAGCGTCATGAAACAGGCAGAAGAAAAACCCACGCTAGATTCCAGACCTTTCTGAAAATGAACCTTTTCATTTTACTTGTGGAATTACCACAGTTGATGCAGACATCTGTGAAGATGTCAAACACAAGTGATGATATACAGTAAATAACATACAGAAAATAATTTTGTTATAGATGAGATATATGGCGTATATGTAAATTTTTTTTGATCAAATCATTATTCAAAAGCACATTACTGGGCAAAATCTTTCTTCTGCTTACCTGCACAGTTCATTCTCTTCACATACATGGATTACATTCAGACATGATGGGGGTGGAACTGCAGTAACTGCACAGGGCTTGCCATGAAGAAGTTCTCTGGCTCTGTGGCAGGATTCATCAGGCTGGATACAATCACAAAATGTCATCATTTGGGCAACTTCAAAAGGCATGTTTTGATAGAAGAACCTTATGGCTGCTTGACATTCTTCCATGTTGCACTTCTTATTTACTGAGCAAACCTTAAGGTACAGGGACAACTGTTTGTTACATACTTCATCTTCAACACACTCCTTGTTCACATCCAAACAGGTTCTGTTTGCTGTGTATGCTAAAAAGAATAACAGTTTTGAAAATGAAATCACAAGAAAACCTTTCTCAAGTGATGATTAGTAGTCATCCTGCCTGCAACATTCCCATTAGAAACAAGTTTGACTCCCAAAAACTCTGATCCAGTTCTTCCAGCATTGCCTCTTTTAAGCCCGTTGTGTGATCTTCATACTTCTCCCTTCCACTGCTTGGCCCTCATAAGCAACCCTCCTGCAAGTTTCTGCCCCTGCCTGATAAGTGAGGGAGAAGAAAGTGAAAACTGGCATGACGGAAGTTTCTTCACAGTATGTGACCATTTCTGGGAGCTTGTGGCTAGTGGATACCTGAAACTGCTGAAATCTCCAGCATGCAGTCTTATGCTAGGCTACATAGTAAGTAATGGAGAAGAGACTATAAATGGCATTTCTGTGCTTTTAAAGCTAGTTTAGGTATTTCTAGCCTATGCTATAAACCTTCCAAAAAGATCTAGATAATTCTGACCCTAAAATGTTTATGGGATAAGATTTGCCTCTATAAATTTAACAGGATCAGGATTGTTACCTGACATTTTTGGATTCTTATCTAACCAGTAGCTTAACTGAAAATATGTTGGACCTATTGGCTCCCTGCTCTTCAGTAATTTGAATGAAAAGTATTCATTTTAATCGTAAGATACATTGTACACTATCTGAAAACAGAGCTAAACCCAGTTATTAGGATTCATAAGTAAATTCAGACTTACCTTGTTTGGAGAGAGCAGACAAACTCCAGTGTAATTTTGTTTCCGTACTAATATTGTCTAGAACAAAAAAGATACAAATACAGGCGTAAGTGATAAATCATGTCTTAGCTTAGTTTTTAACTTTAAAGTATTGGCTGTGTTGCTGGCATAATGCTAGTAATAAAAATAAACAAGAATAAAAAAAATAGCTGGACCAAATAGGACCTGTCAGCTTGTTAACAAACTCTAAAATCACTGTTACATATATTCATAAGTTTTGGGGTGAAAGCCGTCAATGGCTGCTGATAATGTTCTCTACATAATTATAGGTCCTGTGAGCTCAAGAAGTGTTTTTAGAGCTGCTCAGCACAGTATAAAGACAGATTTCTTGTGAATAAAAAAAGGCCAGAAACCTTAACGTGTTCATCAGTGCACCCAGTTTTCAAGTTCAACTAACTGCTTGTCGTGATCTAAAGTCAAGGCAGGCAGACAATTCCTGCTATTAGAGAATTATTGTTATTGGTCTTACATTGTTTCTAGTTATAGTGTAATACTAAAAGGGACTGATTTGGATCAGATTGTATCAAATTAATACATTGAAGGACAATAGTATTTGCACTCAGGCTATCATTTTGCTATCAGATTAGTAATTTCCATCTAAATAAGCCTCTTAAAACTATCCTGTTTCCAGTGTTAAACTGCAAATGATTAAGAAAACCTTTTTCACAGACTTGTGCATGGTACTGTTATGTATGAAAGCATTCAGACTGCTGGAATACCACTAACCTGTGTCGGTGTCCTGATTTTTCTCATCATCAACATCACCATCATCATGATCATCATCATTTTCACTAGCTGCTGAAGCTTGGCTCTCTTGAGAATATTGTAAACAAGGGTTGGTAATTATTCCCTTCCATATTTTAACGCATCTCAGCTGATGTGGGTCTGAGCACTTGCACTCTCCCAGAACTGTTTTCCTCAGTTCTTTCCATGCTGACAAACACTCCTGGTTGACCATCGGGAGCCTGCATTTTGCTGCATCTGCCTGGCATGCTTGCTGGAAGCTCTTATACACTAGAAAACAGTAAGGGTCCTCTCGGCAGCGTTGCTTTGCAATACTGCAGTCATTCTCTAATTCTTCTGGGTGAATTTGGTCTTTGGGGTTTCTGTGTTGCCTAAAACTCAGTCCAGTATCTGATCTTGAGGAAGTTTCAAAATATTCTGTACAAATAGGTACAAACCAGAGATATAAATCAAATGGAAGATGGAGCATCATCACTGGTCAGCTCAAAACAAACTCAGGAAAAGGATAATTGTCTTAATGCAATAAAATGAATGAAAAAGCCCTAGTTTCATTCTGAGCTGTATGTAAATACATAATAATTTCAGTGTCTTGCAGACTAATGAATCCTCATGCTTACTGCATCCTGGTAGCTGTATAACAGAGTCTAACAATTCAGCTACTAACAGTAATACAAGAAACCCTCACTAAAATTACTGCATAAAGGGATTCATCTCACATAATTTTAACCACATACAGATTGGACTTCTCACGGATTATGATCTTAATTCAATGCATAATTTGTAAAGAGAGAATGGCAATTCTGGAAGATGGTTCATTCATTACCTAAAATAGTCATTTAAGATAGACAGGGAGAATTACTCCTGAAAGCGTCTACCAACACCATAAGCTATCATCTGTAGGTAAAACTGATACTGGTGTAACTCCATCCAAACTTTTTGCTATGCTGGTGAGAAATGTAATCTCAATCAGCAAAAAATATAAAATTACTTCGTTTTGCTAGAAGCAAAAGCAACTATTCCAATGATATCAACATCAGGTTTTAGATACCCACTCTTCTTGTTTGGGGCACGGAGCAATGGATCACGATGCTATTATTTCCTCTGCAATAAAGCCATATATGCTACTACTATATCATGTACGCTGATTGATGCCAGCAGGAAGTGACGGATCAGAGCTGGGAATCAACCTTGGGGCTCACTTTCCAGACTCTCATTCACTGGATGATTTTACCTCTCTTATGTCAGCTTTGCTAAGAGTATTTTTCACTCTTGCTTTCCATTGGGTTGAGCAAGAGCTTTAAAAACCATCTGAATTTCTCACATGCCTTTTATTGTTTATTTTAAAGCCGATAACGGCATTGTTTTCATATGCATGTTGGTGTGTGAATATCATAGAAAAGACAAAACTAATTTTTTTAGGGAATTATCAGATTTGAGAAATATGCAAAGAAACTTGAATCCAGTTAAAATGAGGGTTACAAAATTACATATTTCTTTTTGTTCTTCATAATTAAGTCTTTATGTTTAGTTACCTTTATCAAGGCTGCACTGTTTCCCAAGCAAAGTTGTGATGCTACAGAGATCGTCTGTAGTGCAGACACAGTTTTTAAATTCTGGGTATTCCTCAGCCAGGACCTGGATGATTCTATTACATTCAATAGCATCTTCTGCCTTGCATCTATTACCTAGAACTTACCATTAAAATTATAATGTTATTAATGTTTATGAATGCTTAAGGGATATGGTTACATAAAACAATTCAATTGAAGCACAAAAATAATATGTTCTGCCAAGAGAAGATGGTTTGAACTTAGTTTTGTTTGAAAACCTGTCATAATTTACAAATTTTAAATAATATTCAGAGTGAGATAATAAGGTTGTGGGTATGATATTGCCTTCTTTTATCTGATCTGACCCATTGCCAGAACATCTGTTTCTGTTCTCATTTCCAAAGTACGTAAAACCTTAAACTCATACCTTTTATTCTAGGTAGATGAGGTACAGAGACCGAACTAAAAATGTGCACAGGAGTCGAGGGGCACATCCTGAACTGAGGCACTGAAACATTCAACTTGCTCCTGTGTAGAAATGAGGTGCCTGGTACAGGGACAGGAATTCACAGTGCAGGCTAAGGTACTGCCACGTAACGGCGTAAGAGAGGGGAGGTAGGAGGGCAGGCGCAGTCCTGTGATAATGGCGATGCTAACCCCATGCTGAGGCATCCTGGTTTCAGCTGGGATAGAATTAGTTTTCTTCCTAGCAGCTGGCACAGTGCTGTGGTTTGGATTTAGGATGAGAATAATGTTGATAACACACCGATGTTTTAGTTGTTGCTAAGCAGTGCTTACACTAGTCAAGGACTTTTCAGCTTCTCATGCCCTGCCAGCGAGAAGCTGGGAGGGGGCACAGCCAGGACAGCTGACCCAAACTGGCCAAAGGGATATTC